CCCGACTGAGAGCGCTATTACGAAGGAGCAATTGCAGCCTGATTCTCAGCCTGCAATGAGCCATTCCACACAGCAAGATATAAACTAGGTTGACTGCGGCATCCAAGTTATCCCGTCAGTTGGCAATCCTCCAAGCCACGTCTTTTAGCGCACCGCGATAGCTTCAAGCGCATCAGATTGTTTATAATGAGGAAATCAGCGCTATCTATCTGATTTAACACATACAGAAAAACCGCCTGTATTAGTCAACCAATCCATTGTTTCATGACAACTCCATACTATACACCAAACAAACAACAATTCCAAAACTACAGCAGGTGGAGTTTAAAATTCTCCATCTCCCTCCATACGCATCAGATCTCGCACCCACTGACTACCACTTCCTCCGGAAGTTCGATAATATTTTCATAGAAAAAAACAGGCTCTCCAAGATTTTGTTGAACTTCGATAACCACGCTTCACACCACCGGCCAGAACAAATTACCACTGAAATGGCAAAAAGTGTACTGACAATCGAGATGAAGAAAATTACTCTTGTCCTGTTTATACAACACTGACAAGTTTTGTTTTCTTTTTTTTCCACAAAGTTCATACTTAACGACTTAATACTACGCGCCATATGTGTCCATCACTTTCGCCGAAGTGACTGTTGTTGATGTTGGCTTGGAGTAAGAATGCAAAATGTCGGGATGCATAAAATGCTTGTTAACAGTGACCACGTCTCAACCACCTTACTTGCTTTCAGGAACTTGCTTTTTGGCTTCCACCGTCAGAGCGGGTGTTATCAGCAAAACAGCACCAGGATCAGTGGAGTTAACACACGTATTTGCTTTTATTTTAGATGACCTAATTGTGAAAAAACTCGCGACGTCGGCTGGAGTTGAACCCACATAGCAGGGAAGGCCTTTACACAGCCAACGCTCTACCACTTGAGCTACGGCGCTACGCCGTGAATTTAAAAACACTTGGATCAATTTTACCCACTCAATTTTACTGCTCGTACGGAATCCACCAATACGGAAAAGCAAGCTGACTGCTCAAGCGGACGGGTAAAATCGATCCAAGTGTGAATAAATTCACGGCGCACGGCCGGCGTCGTAGCTCAAGTGGTAGAGCTTTGGCTGCGTAAAGGCCTTCTCTGCTATGCGGGTTCAACTCCAGCCGACGCCGCGAGTTTTTTTCACAATTGGGTTAACTAAATTAAGCAAATCTGCCAAAATCCCTAAATATTTGTTTTTAAACTGTCCGAGAGCTGAGAAAGTCGTGATCTAGTACCGGACATTTCAATTGTAGCTGGTGATGCTTCTTCCCCAAGTTCTTAATTTTTGCCAGTAGGAAGAGAACACGACAGGAGCGCTTTAGCGCGAGCATAGACGAAAAACAAGCCAAAATCGTCTGCCCTCAGGCCAACTTCCCCGCGACTATCTAATTGTAAATTATAGACTGACCTGGGGTCCAAAGGAAAAAAAATTAATTTGCCGGAAGGAATGAGGCAAAACAAAGTACTTTGCGAAGTTTTCCAAATTTGGACGTCGAATGGCAACGGTTCGTGTTGGAGTCGTAGTGATGCAACAAATGCAGTTCATTGCCTCAGGAACAATTCACAGTGAATTTTGTACCCCGTTTCCTAAGACGCTGGTAGTCAGCTGAAGACAAAAGCGCAAAAAGGGGTTTAGAATTTATGACTTTCATCAAAAGACGTTCCTGTTGGCTGCGCGGCTCAGATGAAATTTCAGAGGACCTGATCAACTGCAAGGTAATCCAGCAGTACCAACACAGTTGTGCTTTAGTTCAGGGCCTGAGGAAGGAGGCTCTACAACAGTCCTCTCGTGAGGGAAAACGAGAAGAGACGTGGAACAGGGCACATGCATTCTTGGCCGCAATTATCTAAATGTAGAGTCGAATTCGGTGAAATATGAACGCTCGGGCCAGCACACTGGCTTTTCCAGTGGTCGACTGTTGTTGTTATTTTTAGAAGGCCAACTGACAAGCACAGTGCTTTCTACATCACGCCAGCAGGCAGGAAATACGGTAACTTAAAAAAGTCCTAGTGAAGTGGTTTGCTGCCTGCCAACCTCCGCCACCTGTGTTACACACTGCACTTCCCAGATGTTATGCCTCGGATCGCAATACCTAACGACAGCCCGAATGAGAAAAGGAGTACAGCACAGCGTCAGGACGGACCTTCTTCTGACGATAGAAGGCTTCAAAAGCTACATCGCTCGCGAGAACCTCGAATGTGTCGTGTAGTCCGGCGAAATCTGCCTGCATCTACTGATCCGCAACCTCGTACAGAGACCGCATGTTCAAGTGTCTTACACAATCACCACGTGAAAATAAGAAATTTGGTAAGCTCAAATGCTCATCTGTTATGCATATGGCTTATTACTCATTTCCGAAACAATTATAGGAGTTACTAAGCTTCCATATTTAGTTGATTCTGGAGGAGGTAGCTCCCTAATAGACAGGAGATGCTCTGTAAATTCTAAGCTAGAGCGAGGTACTGTATACAGTTAACCGGAAAAACGGCTAAGTAAGTATTATTACCAGGAGTAGCACTCCTAGCACTGGCATATTACTTCTAGCAGCAGCAGCAGCCTAGTCGTCGCAGTCAAACCTTAGGAGAAACTGACACAACTTTTGGTGGATAAAGGTGAGAGCGCGGAAATAAAGGCCAGCCATTATGTGCTCGGAGCACAAACATGTATTACTCGGAGTAGCATAAGACTAGAATCCCACTACTAGTTGACAGAGAGCGTTGACCCAAATCAGTATTAATTCTGACTTATAATAGCAACAGATATAGTAACAGTACTACTAACACTCCGCTTAATTTCTAGTTTAAAAAAGAATGGGAAGACGATTTTGTAGTAGGCCTGCAGCCAGTCTATAGACGGCAAACGGCACTATTTTACGACACAAAGGCATGGTAGAACTTGAACTGTTTTTTTTATTAACCCATAAACTATTAATCTACATTACCCCATACAGGTTAGGAGTGCATACTTGGTTCCGATTTCCTAAAAACACAGACGGGCCGTATTATAATATACTATTTACTGGTTTTAGTATGGTTATTATAATTAGCACTTTAGCATAGGTACATACTTAGAGCAGCAGTATTCCAGTCCCCGCAGTCCAAACCTAGTAGAAACGGACACGGTCCGGTGGATAGAGTTGAGAGGACGGAAACCAAGGCAAGCCCTAATATGCTCAGGGCCTCAGCGGCCAACGCCGGGCCCCGTTTGGTTTTCTTTACCCTGGGCGAAGGTGAAGATTGCGGTTGGCGCCAACTACGTCTTTTATCACTATAAACTACCGCCTGAGGCCCGTCACCTTCTAAACCGACCTGTTGGTGTGCTTGGTGGATTTCAACGACATCGATGGTCTAACACACTGTCCTTCCCAGATGTGATGCCTCGGATCGCAATACCCAATGAGAGCCTGTGTGAATGAAAGGGGTACAACACAGCATCAGGACGAACCTTTTTCTGATGACAGAAGGCGTCCGGGAAACCGAGCTTGCGAAGGAAGTGCTGCTGGGCCTCAAGAATACAACGAACGGTGAGGATACCACGACCGCTGGGATAGTCTGCGAGTTCGTTGAGGAAGGCGATGTAGAGATCAGCAAACTGCTGAGAACGCGCCTTGGCGTCGGACTTGGTATCTGCTTGACTCTCCTCAGCCTTTTGGCGTATCCGTTCCGCGCCTTGCTATAAAAGGATAATACGAGCAACTGAATGGAGGGATAATGTACTAATTAAAAATACAAAAGGTAAGACTTCGAGAAGAGTGAAACTCACAGAAGCCAGGGAGGCAGTTGCGTGGCATTACTACTACTACTAATAATAATAATAGTAATATTAATTGCATTTAATATCAGTTTACAGGCACGATCCGAATAAATATAAAGGATGGATGGAGCTAGCGGTGAATAAAAATCCCCGAAGCCTAAGTATACAGGGGAGACTGTTCGAGCAGTGAGCTCGTCATGTGAAACGCTCGTCTTGCGAAACGTAGCCAATCAAACTGC